ATAGCCCTCAGGAAAAGCACAGGGAGTGGAAGGGAAAGTGCTTTGCAGTCTCCAGGGTGTGGTCATCAAGGGGCTGCAGAGAGAGGCTGTGGGGAGAGAAGATGGCACCTCAGACATGGGGCAGCTCCAGAGCCTCCTCTCCTCCACTCCCCCCACCCCAGCCTGGTGCCAGGGCTGCTCACAGGGCATCGTCACCCCCTCCCCCAGGGATGCTCAGCCCCAGCTCACCCTCTCAGCCTGAGTCACTCACACCCAGCCTCTCCCCTGGCTGGGCAGACTAGAAAAGTGCCACAGCCTCCCTGTGTGGCCATGGGGTTAGGACAGAGGCCCAGAGCCCTTAGGTCTCCCCAGGATCTCCCTGGGTTCCCAGCAGGAATGAATTGTGCGTAAACGTTATCCCTTATCCAGTCTCACACTCTATGTCCAAATTGTTTCCTAAATTACACACAGACAGAGATGGCTCCTGTCCATCAATAACCATACTCTATGGTTCAGGCAGGAGCACATCCCAGACATAACAGCTGCTTCCCAGGATCAGGGTGAGCCCCATAAGCGAGGCAGATGCCCTCAGTCTCTGGGATGAGACCTTGACCCCAGAGTCCCTGTCACTTGTTCCTGTTGCTGATTTCAGGGATGAAGGCTCCTCCTCCAGGGAATCAACTCTGAATGATACAGGGCAGCAAGGGGCACTAAAACTGCCCAAGGACACTGCCCCAATAGTTTACTGGTCACTGTTAGAGTTCTTCACCAGTGGCACAATTGCGACACTATTCAGTTTCAAAGAACAACAATAATGGGATTTATTTAACAAACGAGGGAAAAACAAGAGTTACCATGGCAAAAAACGAACATTTACCTCGCCTGAACCAAGGTCCAGTGTTTTATTTTTTATTTTTTTTATTTTTTGTGGGACCCTCACCGGTGCCCGGGGGAATGAACCGGCCCTGGAGAGGTTGAGGGCAGCCTCACAGCCCAGCGCTCAACCGCTGCGTCACCAGGGGAGGCCCAAAGTCCAGTAATTAAAATCCTAAACACAAAAGCTCCCAAGATGGCCTCTTCCACCACTGAGGGCCTGGAGCACGTGGCAGCCAGACTATAAGTCTTAGTCTAACACACAAAGACAACAGAAGACACAACAGGAAATGCTCCCAGAGCTTCCGAGATGCTCCAGGCAGCACCAGACAAGCAACACTCAAAGCAGCAGCTGCAGTGGACAAATGACCAGACAAATGGCCACACTCACAGTTTAGTGAGGTGCCCAGCTCTGGGCCTTTGTCTTCCCTGCCAGGCTGTAAGAGCAGCAAAACCGGAAACAGTTTCAGTAGCTCAATTACTTGCAAAGCCTCTGAGCTTTTCCTCTCTGAGGTTGGCTGCTGGAGGTTTCTCTACATCCTTCAGAAGTCCACAACAGCCTTCTGGAAGATCTGCGTGGTGGGGGCAGAAATTGCTGACCCTGGAATCACTGAAGATCCAGAAATGCTGAAATCCCAAACTCTGAACCTGGGGGCTGCTTCTGCAGTTCTTTATATTTCTTTCTTTTTAAATTTAATTAATTAATTAATTTGATTTTTTTATTAAATTTTTTTCTTACATTGTTGTAGTCCCCATAGTTCTCCCACCACATGTCACCTGTGAACCATCACCATATTCCTCCCCTTAACCCTCCTCCCTTGCTGGATGCCTCATTTCTATGGTCAGCTTGCTAGTTTTGACTTTTTTAAAATTAATTAATTCATTTATGTTTTATATCATTGTTCATTTTTAAACAATGTTTATTTGTTTGTTTGTTTCCCTCAGGTGTAGTCCCCATAGAATTTCCTCCACCTATTCACCCATGGGCCATCACCACAGTCCCCAGCGCTCCTCCTTCCCTCCCTTTAACCCCTCTCCCTCCCCACCTCTTACCCCCATACTTGATGTCTCTGGTTTATAACTATCTGTTTGTTTTTGTTTTGTTATTATTCCCCCCATGTCTTATTTGGTTCCCCTATAATCCTCCTATAAGCAAAACCATCCAATATTTTTCTTTTTCCTTCTGACTTATTTCACTGAGCATAATTCCTTTAGCTCCATCCACGTTGTTTCAAATGGCATTAGTTTATCCTTTTTGATTGCTGAGCAATATTCCATTGTGTATATGTTCCACATCTTCTTGAGCCAGTCATCTATTTTGGGGCATTTGGGTTGTTTCCATAGCTTACCTATTGTAACAAGTGCTGCAATAAACATAGGTGGGCATGTATTCTTTTGAATGAAAGTTTTTGTGTCCTTTGGGTAGATCCTTAGGAGTGGAATTGCTGGGTCCATTTTTAGTAGCTCCATTTTTAGTAGACTGAGGAACCTCCACACAGCTCTCCATAGTGGTTGGCCCAGTTTGCACTCGAACCAGCAATGAAGGAGAGTTCCTTTTTCTCCACATTCTCACCAACATTTGGTGTTGCTAGTTTTTTTGATATGTGCCCTTCTCACTGGTGTAAGGTGGTATCTCATTGTGGTTTCGATTTGCATTTCCCTGATTATAAGGAATGTTGAACATTTTTTCATATGCCCGTTGGCCATTTGTATTTTCTTTTTGGAGAAGTGTCTTTTAAGTTCTTCTGCCCATTTCTTGACTGGATTGTTTACTTTGTTTTTGTTGAGTTGTGTGGGTTCTTTGTATATCTTTGTGATCAGTCCCTCATCAGTTGTATGGTGTGCAAAGAGTTTTTCCCAATCAGTGGGGTGTCTCTTTGTTTTGGTTAATGACTCTTTTGCTGTGCAGAAGCTTTTCAGTTTGATGTAATCCACGTGTTCATCTTTTCCTTCACTTTCTTTGCTTTGGGTAATGAGTCTCCAGAAATAAAGCCACAGATATATGGACTACTCATCTTTGACAAAGGAGCAAAGGACATGCAATGGAACAAGGACAGTTTGTTCAATAAATGGTGCTGGAAAACTGGGCCAACATAAGCAAGAGAATTAATCCAGACCACTACCTCTCACCGTGACAAAAATAAATTCAAAACGGATATAAGATCTGGATATAAGACCTGAAACCATAAAATATATAGAAGAAAATATAGGTAAAACACTACAAGACATACATCTCAACTCCTTATATTTCTTATCAGTTTCCACCCCAGCCCATACTGAGGCTATCCGTACTTACCAGCGCCTCCTTCTAGGGGGCTCCACCTGTAACAGTCTTTGGCTTCAATCAGTGATTACATAAACCCTCCACCCTTAGGATTGGTAGGAAGAGGGCCAGGATCTCCTCCTGCCCCAGGGTCATGGGCTAGGGAGAGGGGAGGCTCCTGGAGGAGTAAGGACAGGAGGATGTAGGGATGGAAGGGATGGAGGCCAACAGGAGTGAAAATGGAGGAACCAGAGGGGTGGGGCAGGGAAGGGTCAGCTAAGTGGACACCTGGGTGGGAAGGATGGTCTGTGTTAGGAGAGCCCAGGTGCTGCAGGAGGCCTTTTTGCTCCAGCCAGATAGGATACTGACAAGCAGCAAAGAGAAAGGGCCTCACACCGTGGGGCTGAAGATCTGGCATCCCTTTGCTTTTTGTTCTTGGTCATAGAGAGAGAAAAATTTATCAAAAAGTATATTAGGCAATAAATTATATGTATCAGCATACTGTAAATAAATAGCACGAAAAATTGTTTGTTTAGAAATTAGTTGTTGGGCAGTTTGGCCCACTTGACAATGGGAGATGGTTTGTTGAACATGCCTGACAAGCATTACAATTCAATAATTACAGTGGGTCCTTCTTTTGCCTTCCCTTGAAGTTTCTTGGGAAAGTTTTTAAATGAAGCTATTTGAGTTAGGAGTTTCTAAATAGAAAAAGTTCTGATAGCTGAGTAGCAGCCGGTCCCCAGCTGAAGGCCATGCGAATAAGAGGAGTCTTTTCTTGCTTAGGCTTTAGCTGATAGGGATGTACTGGCGGCTATCCACTGTCTTAGGTTATTGTTTAGCTGAAACAATGAATTCTAGTGTAAGGCTTCGTTTTTTATTATCCTTGAAAGTTGCCTTCTCACTGAAAGCACGTAGTGGTCAAAAGCCCATAGAAAAAGAGATGCACTAATTGTTTCTGCTTTGTTTCTATGCACTTGATAATGTAATCTCATTGCTTGCAAAAAATGTATAAATAAAGAACCTGCTGAGCCTTTCGGCAGAAGATACTAGCACCTCACCAAGTGTCGGTGTCTACTCATTCCCTTCCCCTCAGCCCCTAAGTTTCAGTTCTTTCGTTTTCGCCGAGGCCGTCTCATCCTTTCAGGAACCCCTGACACGACATTTTGCCGGAGGCTGGTCCCCGGCACCCAGGAGTTTCTGGTTGGGGCTGGGAGAGTATCTACTTTACCTTGAGTGACAATTGCACAGGGTTTAGCTCTATACTTAGGATTAAGGATTTCTCTAATGTTAGAGCTGTGGTATAATTCAAATACACATGGAAAAGGGAAAAAGAGGGGTTAGAGAATTCCCCTCTTCCAGAGCAAACCCCCCTAATGCTGAATCAAGTTGCCCAGAGAGGGTGAGTCAAGCTGCATAGAGAGGGGGACCACAAGGCCTGCGCCACCTGGAGGGGGCAGCCTGTGCTCTCACCCCAGATTCCAGAGCCCACTCCCTGTGTTGGAAACTCACAGCCAGGTCTGAGTCCATCTCAGCTCATAGCCCTCAGCCCCCTGGACAGTCATAGGAGCTTGACCATAGGGTCCAAGGGTCACAGGACTCCATGTACTATGACTGAGTCATACCTTTACTTGGGCAGAATCAGTGGATTCTGGACATAAGTCTGGAGCCAGAGGACTTCAGTGCCTGCAATCCTGCCACCTGGCCTGGTGCCCTCCAGTGCAGATGCAGAGGCAGCGGGTGCTCTGACCCCAAGCACTTTTGGCTGCACCACCCATGCTAAAGGCTCCTGGGGGCTTTCTGCTTGGCTCCTCACTGGAGTGAGCTAGTGAGTTGCTCCCTCCCCTCCAAGCACCAAGGCACCCCCAGCCCCAACCCATACCAGAGAACTGCCTCTCTTCCTGCCCCAGCCACACTCAGCTTTAAGGGGTTCTGCTCCAGACACTTACCCATTCAGTAGCACACTTATTCCACACCTACTGCGTGCCAGGCACTGTCCAGGCAATTTGGGATATTTCAACAAAGGAAGTAAAATCCCTCCCTTTCCAGTTTACATACTGATTGAACACCTGACAATAAACAAGAAAGCAACTGCAGTGATCAGGGTCAAAGAGTAAAGAATGATTTAGAGAACCAACAAAGTAGGGGAGATGAGGAAGCCAGGTGTGATATGAAATGCTATCTTCAGGGAAGACTTTCCTGTAGATGACATTAGAGCTCAGACCTGAAGGAGGTGAATGCTGGATTTACAGCAGTGAGTCCTGTGTCATTGCAAGGAAGAGTGTTCTAGAATCACCCTGTACACAGCTCTGGCTTTGCTGGAGAAGTCCTAAAGCTGCAGCAAGAGGGGACAGGGTGGGGGAAAGATCTGGAAGCACCTCCTGCTAAGGAGCTGTGGGATCAGGGGTGTCTCCTGACCTGCTCCCAGTTGATCTGAGACTTCATGAAATCCAGACTCTGGGGGAGACGAAGGGACAGTGAGTGGAGAGGAGTAGGGAGAAGAGGGGGAGCTGAGGGGTCCACCCCAGCCATACTTCTGCTCACCCTCTCCTGCACCCAGTGTGAGGGGTCAGGGATCTGACATGGTCACAAATCCCAGAGTCCCTAGATCTGGAGCAAAGTCATCACATTGTAAAGGACACAACCAGGCCTTTTCCTGGAGTGGACAAAGCCAAACTCGAAGCCACGAGCAATGTCTTTGCACAGAAGAGTTTATTCTAGAAGGCTCAAGGGAGTCAGTGGGACCAGCACCCCAAACAACTCACTCCCTGGATGGGGGACTGCTGGGATTTATAGGAGGTGAAGGAATGTGAGGGAGGGGCAGGGCTTCACATCCCCAGGCCCAAGGAGGTGTCCACGTCTAGGTGACAGGAGTCAAGAGTTTAGGGCAAGACAAATAAAAACAATGATATGTCATCTCACATTTACTAGAAGGCAAATATCAAAAAAAACTCATAGAAACAAGTCCTGACCAAGAGCAACGGGCACCCTCATCCTTGCAGCAAGATACAAAGTGGCACTGCCAGGCCTCCCCGGTGGTGCAGAGGTTGAGTGCTGGGTTGCGAAGCTGCCTGTCAGCCTCTGCAGCGCAGGTTTGACTTCCTTCCAAAGACATGGGGGAAAAAAAAAAGAAATGGAAGAAAAAGTGCATAGCATGTGTCATGTTGAATGGAGAAGAGCACTTCACCTCTGTTGCCTTCTTTCTCAAAGTCACAGCCCCAGTGAAAAAACTCAAATTCAGCAACATTGTTTCTGAGCAGTCTCCCCAGCGTCAGTTACCAAAAAATGTAAAGTCCAAGAAACTGCCTGAACTGCAGGCGCATAAAGGAGACATGGCTGGAACTTACTGAGATCCTGGATGAGATCCTGGGACATAAAAAATAACAGTAATGAACTCTAAATACAGCATGCAGTTTGGTAAACGTGAGTCAGTGTCACTTCACTGGCTGCACAGATGCAGTGTAGCTATGTAAGATTTAACTATGTGGGAAAAGAGTGTGGAATATAAAGGAACTGTATAATACCTTTGCAAATTATCTGAAAATAGTATTTTTAATGTAACTTTAAAAAATAGTCTTCAATAAATAGGTTGTAGAAGAGAAAAAATGTCTACTTTCCAGTTTTCCCAGGTATTGCTATAAAAGACTGGAGGTAGGGGGTACTGCGGAGAAAAGCTGGAAACCTCACACCCAGGGCAGGCTCCGGAGTCCCCTCTCCTCTGAGCCCTGCTTCTCTGACTCCTCACAGAGCATCTCACCCCAGGACGCCGCCCTCCAGGACCCCCAATTCTGCCCACCTCAGCCCCCGCCCCGTCCTGGCGGCTCCACCAGAATCCGGAACAGCGCGGCAGCGCCCCCGTGTGGCCACAGGGCTGAGCACAAGAGCCCAGAGCCGCCCTTTCTCCTGCTCAGCCAGGCCCTCCCCAGGCTCCCTGGGCTCCCAGCAGCAGGACAGGCCCACTGTCAGGTTAGGAGTCCTCAAGCTTCCTTCCTAGCGAATGACTATGGACACAGGCCTCAGGGAAGAGCCAGATCTCCATGTCATAATAGTGGGTTCCCAGGTTCTGGTGAGTCCCCCAAGTATACAGTTTCCCTCAGTCTCTGGATGAACCCCCTGGACTCCAGAGTCCCTTTTATTTGTTCCTGCTTCCAGGGATGAAAGCATCTCCTCCTGGGACTCAACCCTACATTCTCTATCCCTAGGGCAAGGAAAGGAGTTCAATAATAGAATCTCAGACTCTGTTCCAGATGTTCTAGTATCCAGGTGATTTCTGTGCTCACTGAAGCGGAAGCTCCCTGGTCTCTCTGCAGTCTCCACATGGTGTCAGACAGTGAAGCAGGCTCTAGGGGGTGTCTGCTCAGATTGCTCATCACTGGGGAGTCTGGGGTTTAACCTGCTCCTTTCTTTTCCTTAGCCATCACTCTCCGGGGTGCCCTTCTGAGCTCAAGACTGCAAACATCATTCACATCCTATCACCTCCCAAGTCTATTTCTTAGCTCATATATTTCATCTCTACTCCAGACTTGTCTGTCCAACTGCCAACATCACTTTCATTTCTAATAGATCTCAGCTTCAACCTTCCTAAATTGACTACCTAGGATGCCCACACATGGTTCTTCTGGGCTCTCCCCATATCACTGCAGGTTCCACCACACCCTGCACAGTCTCAAATACTGGGTGTCATCCTTGACCCATTTCTCACAACCCAACAGTAGGAAATGCTGTAAAGTCCATCTCCAAATACACACAGATCCTATCACTTCCTATTATTTTCCTGTTCACCTCCCCTCTTCCCTCAATGAAGCCACCAACCTCTCTGTCCTGGAACCTGCAGTGATTTCCTCCATTTATCTTCCCACCTCACACCCTTCAATGCTGCACAGCAGCCAGACTGAGGGTACTAGAGAGAAGCCGCACAGGTTGGTCTCTGTTCAGAAACTCTTGTCACCCCACATCTTACTCAGAAAGTCAAACCCAAAATCCTCCAGGCCTGAATGATCTGGGTACACACAGATCTGATCTCAGTTGCCCTCTGGTCCAGCAGCCTTTATCTCAGCCACACGAATTCCTGCCTTGGGCATCTGCACTGGAAGTTGTCCTGCCTGGACTGAACTTCCCTGGACATAGCTGTGGGCAATGTGTCCATAAAGCTTTTTCTCAAAGGTCACCTAAGTGAGGCCCACACCGACCATGCTAGGGAGCAACCATCCTCCCTGTTCCCAACACTCTGGGCAGGGTTACTTAAGGGTAGTGTTAGAGGGAGAAGCTGTAAAGGAAATAGAAATCCAACAGGATATTAAAATGAAAAATTACCTAATCCTTCTCTCTACTAATACCAGTAGTATTAGTTGTTTTAAAAAGATGTGAAAAGATGGAAAGAATAATCCAGACTATAGTCCTAAAATGAGGCCAAAAACAGGATGAGTCTGGAAATCAATCTCTAACACCATGTACTCCTGTGTGCAGCAACAATCCTGGGCCTTGTGGGCATGACAGATGTCTCCTGCTGCTGTCAGAGACGGGGTACCCAGAGGACATGAGGCCTGGTCTCTAAATATGAACAGACATAAAAAAGCAAAAACCAAAATGAAATATAAACACATAAAGTATGAGGACCTAATGGTGCCCTGAGTGTGGAGTGACCTGGCCGCAAGAGCCTCCACCCACATCCTGGAGACAGGATAGGCCCAGGTGGTGTCTGAGTCCCTGTGATCACAGGCCCTGCTGGGACAAGTGCTACTGAAGGGCAAGAACAAAGGAGCAGAGAGATGACCCCTGAGGAGTGACCACGTCAAAGCCCACGATGCACTGAGCACCGACTGGACAAAGGCTCTGTCCCCCTCGGCTCCTCACAGCCTCTCTCGCCACACCTGCACAGGCTCAGCACAGCAAACCTGCAGTTCTGACTGGTCCTCAGGTCTCCGATTTATGTAATCACAAATTTTAGTAATCCCACTAATGTACCCATCAATCCCACCTGACAAGGTAAGAAAAGTAACTTCATAGCTGTAATAGTATTTTCAATTGGGAAGTAGATATTATTCCTCAGGAAAACACAAAATACAGGCAGGGATGGAGCCAACCCCACCTCTGCTGGAGCAGGACAGTCATCAGAGACAACACAGGTCAGTGTGGGGAGGGTCCTACAGGGCAGGGGCGGTCCAGTCTCCCCACCTCCTCACATTATCAATTAGAAGACAGAATCATTCATATGCCTTTTGCAACAAGAAAAACCAGTGGATGTTGAAGCCACAAAGTGAAGATAAGAAGAAATCCTGCATCACTCAGTCCCCATGGGCAGCTGACTCACGCTGTGAAGGAAAATGATCATGAACAAAGTTAGGAAGGTTTTGACATTCTCCATAGCCCACTGCATCCTCAGAATGTTCCCCTCACAGCTTCCCTATAACCTGGTCCCATCCTCTCTGCCCAGCCCCTCCCACCGCAAGCCTTCAGGGTCTTACCTTTAGGGGCTGAGAGACAATCACGGCCCTGGGCACTGTCGCTGCCTGGGGGAGAACAAAACAGAACCTGGTCAGAGCCAGGAGACATGAGACCACAGGAGGGACTGATAGGGGTGACTGCCCCATGGAATCCATCTATACTGTCCCCAGGGGCTCAGGGATCCAACCCCTGATCCAAACTTACCTGCAGCATGAGTGTAGCTTCCCCCTTGTCCTCCTGTGGGAAGAAACATCATGTGAGACCAGGGAGGAGTCAAGCCATGACATCTTAAATGAATCCCCTAATCTGGGCCACAAGGAATGTTCCAGAACTGTGCCTGAAGACCCAGGGCAGGACAAGGAAATATGAAGAATGGAGATGCAGGGAGACTGGAGCAACCACCTCCTGGAATCTGTTCTCAGCAGGGACCTTCCCCTCTGACATTTGCTGGGAATCAGGGCCCCATCACCAGAATTATCAAGGTGAACAAGTGGTGATTCATTTTCATAAGTGGTTTACAAAGAGCAAGGAGTAGCAATCAGCTCTAGACTAGGCAACACAGTGTGTGAGTGGTACTTCCCATTAACCAGGTAGGGCAAATTCTCCCTGGGAAGTGAAAGACAAGATCCCCCACTCCCTTCCCTACCTGAGTGCTTCTTCCTCCACATCAAAGCTGCAGCCACCGCAGCTCCAGTGAGCACAGCTTCAAGGAGAACCAGGCCAGCAATGATGCCCACAGTGGGGATGGAGGACTGAGGAGGGGGCACTGGAAGGGAAGGGAAGGGGAGACCCTGTCACTCAGACCTCCATTCTGAGTCAGTTAAGGTTTTCCAGAAGGGGTCCTGATTCCTCTGAGCTTTTGTAGCTCGGTGCCTACGTCCCCCTCCTTACCCAATCTCAGCAGCCCCTCATGCTGCACATAGCACATGTATCTCTGCTCCTCTCCAGAAGGCACCACCACAGCTGCCCACTTCTGGAAGGTTCCATTTCCATCAGGCCTGGTGTCCACCAGCTGCGTGTCCTGGGTCAGGTCCTCCCCATCTTGCTGCCAGGTCAGGGTAATCTCCACAGGGTAGAAGCCCAGGGCCCAGCACCTCAGGGTGACCTCATGGTCAGAGGTGCGGTGGTGGGTCACCTGTGTCTTTGGGGTATCTGAGAAGAAGGTCAGAACATTCATACTTTGGGTTTTTCCTTCATGGAGACTGAAACAGCCTCATATCACCATCCTCAGAATGGACAGGGAAATGGGTTTGGAAGAGGAAGCACAAAACCTATAAATCAGCCTGATCTGGGGCATGTGGAATAATCTGTTTCTTAGAATGGGTAAATTGGGGTACACAATCAGGATAGGAAGATGCAGGTCTCTAAGGAGGAGAACACAGACTTATGCTCCTGACCTGGGGACTCAGAAAAGCTGGAGTCAGATCTGAAAATTGTTAATTTCACCAAAAACAAGACAAAGGGAGAAACTGATGGTCCTCCAGATGGCTGCAGGTCCAAAGGATCCAATGAAGGTTGGTTTCAGGAATGGCCTCCCCTCCAGCTCAGGAGACTGGATTCCTCCTTAACTGTCCTTCAGAAAAAGCAGGGCTCTGTGGCGAGTCTCTCTCTAGTACAGAACAGGAAACCCAGGAGGTCTCCTCCCTCTCTGACCAGAAAGAGGTCTGTGTTCTGACCATTACTCCATTTCCCCTGGGGTGTCAGCCCGAGGAAGATCTGAAGGCATCGCCGATTTGCAGCAACTTACTTGAGCACTGCAGCTTCTTCCTACTCTTCTCCAGGTATCCGAACAGCCACTCCAAGCACTTCACCTCCAGGTATTTCCTGAGGCGCTCTGCTTCTCCCGCCGCCTCCCACTTGCGCCGGGTGATCTGAGCGGCCGTGTCCACCGCGGTCCAGGAGCGCAGGTCCCCGCTCAGGGCCAGGTAATCGGCGCCGTCGTAGGCGAACTGATGGTACCCGCGGAGGAGGCGCCCGTCGGGCCCCACGTCGCAGCCATGCATCCACTGGAGGGTGTGAGAGCCTGCCCCCCCCCCCGCCCCCCGCGTCAGCCTTGCCATCCTCCCGCCCGCGCCCCCTCCCAGCAGTAATAAACCTAAACTAAAACCGCTGGAACAAAGTCCTCGGCTCCTCCCGAGTCGAGGGTCGGGGGTGCCCACCAGCTTCGGGTGATGCTCGGACAAGGAGTCTGGGGTTACCCGCCGTCAGTGGGGATGGGGTCACGCCCGGGGCTCAGGCTCGCTCACCCGCCTCGCTCTGGTTGTGGTAGCGGATCGCAGCGCGCAATTTCGCTCGTAAAGTCTGTGCGTTGCTTTCACTCTCCGCGTCTCCCGCGCCCAGTGTTCCGGCCCATCCCGCCCCGCCCAGGGCGCCCGCGGCTCCGCGATCTGACCCGGGGAGTCGCTGTCGAACCGCGCGAACTGCGTGTCGTCCACGGAGCCCACGGCGATGTAGTGGGACAACCCGAGGCTGGGCCAGGACATCGCGGTGGAGAAAAACCTCAGGGAGTGGGAGCCTGGGGGCGGGAGGGAGACCCGGGCTGGGGAGACGGGGCGGGAGGGGAGGGGGCGAGGGGGCTCCCCAGAGAGTTAAGGGGCGGCAGGACCAGAGGGCCGGGAATCAGGGGGCAAGAGGAGGCGGGGGCGGGGAGGGGCAGAAAGGGTCCGGGACAGGTCTGGGTCCAGGGTGGACACAGGGGCTGGCAATGGCGGAAACGAGCGCCGCCCCTCTTGCCACCCGGGGTCCCCTCCCTCCCCCCTCCTCAGCGGCGGTTTCCCTCCTGACCGGCACTCACCCGCCCAGGCCTCTGTCAGGGCCAAGGCCCCCAAGAGCAGCAGCAGGAGGGTCAAGGGCCCCATGGCCCTCACCTACCGGGCCTGACACACTAGGACTCCACAGGGGGTGGGTGCAGGTTTATACTTGAAGTCGCTGAGATGCTGACTGGCTGCTCTGCAAACCCTCCAGGCAATGGGGAGTGAGAACTGGGGGTGAATCATGAGTCCACACCTGAGGGCCCCACTCACGTGAGAGGGAGGAGTGAAACTGCAGGGAGTTGGGGAATCCTCAACAGTAACCTTCATGCCTCTCCAGTCTCTGCTCCCCACTGTGCCCCAGGCCTTTCTCAACATGGACCCTCACCTGCCTTCTCTGCTCCCCACACCCGGCAGGGAGGGCTCACAGGGCCTGGCATCACCTCCACTTTCTCTCCCACCTTTCCCTGCAGCCAGGAGAGCAGACAGGGGTTGAGTGTCCACGATGTGCCAGGCCCCGAGCTGAGACTCACAGGCATCAGCTCCCCGTCCTCACCACGTCCCTAACCTCACCACACACAGGTGAGGAAACTGAGGCTCTGGGGGTGGGGGGGGGGTCCTTGTGCTGGCCTCACCCATGTGCTGTAGGAGGACAGGCTGGAGGCGAGGCCCACACCCCTCAGCACCTGCTGCAGCGGCTCCAGCTCCTGCCTGTGCCCAGCCCTGAACCCACCCCGCACCCAACACCCAGGGCCCTCACCCTGTCTCCTCGGGATTACTCACCTCCCTGTCACCTCCTGCTCTTCCTTGGGCTCAGGTCACCTGCACCTCCTTAGCTGGACTCTTAGTTATAAAAACACAGAGTCCAGGGACTGCTTACTCTGCAACCCCAATGTCTGGTGGATGGTACCCTAAATATATGTCATTTGAAATTAAGTAATCAATAAAGTGACATAAAAAGCAGCTCAGGAGGACTCTGGTAATGGCCCGTTAGGACTTTCACACCAACCAACATACTGCAAACAACCATGTGTTTTGTTGGGATTTGCCCTGTTTATGCACACAGGGATTTCAGATATTTCAAGGGCCGTCATGTGGAAAAGTATCCTTATTCTGTTTGAACAGAGATCAAAATTGATCATAGTCTTGGGATAAGGGGATCATACATGGGTTAAACTGGACACTCCATGCAAATGTCTGTCTCATTTTCATTGTTGGCTTCTTGTTCCCTTTTTCATCTGCACTCTGAAAACTCAATTCAACACTTTCTCCTGCTCCCAGTATTTTTCAGTTTGCACATCATTATAGCGACAACAAAAACAAAATAAATTTTACAGTAAAAAAAAAAAATCTTACCTCAAATCCCAGAAACTAATACCATAATCCAATGTCTTTTTCCATACATCATTCCAGTGTGGACCATCAGTTCTAGTGCCTGGGACCAGCCTCTGGCAAAATGTCATGTCAGGGGTTCCTGAAAGGATGAGACGGCATCAGCGAAAACGAAGGGCTAATGGGAAGGGGATGAGGTAGTGAGGAGACACTGACACTGGATGAGGTGCAAGTATCTTCTGCTGAGAGACTCAGCAGGTCTTTATTCATTTTTAGTAAGCAGAAAAAAAATGCATTATCATGTGTAAAGCAGAGACTATCAGAGCATTTTATTCCCATGGACTACTGGCTCCTACAGGTCTCAGCTAGACGGTAGCCTTCAAAGTTAATAGATAAAAAACCAAACCTAACACTAAAATTTATTATTTCAGCTAGACAATTACCTAAGACAGTGGATAGCCACCAGTGCATCCCTATCAGCTAAAGCCTAAGCATCAAAAGACTCTTCTATTCATATGGCCTTCAGCCGGAGACAAGCTGCTACTCAGCTATCAGAACTTTTTCTACCTAGAAACTTCTTAACACAGTTAACTTCATTTAAAAACTTTCCCAAGAAACTTTAAGAGAAGGCAAAAGAAGGACCTACTATAACTATTGTGTTGTAATGCTTGTCAGGCATGTTCAATAAATTGTCTCCCATTGTCAGGTGGGCCAAATTATTTAATACTAATTTCTAAACAGATAATTTTCCGTGCCATCCATCCACAGTCTGCTGACACGTACAATCCACTGCCCAATATACTCTCTAATAAATTTTTCTCTTTCTATGACCAAGAACAAAAAGCAAAGGGATGCCAGATCTTCAGCCCCACGGTGTGAGGCCCTTTCTCTTTGCTGCTTGTCAGTATTCTATCTGGCTGGGGCAACAAGGCCCCCTGTAGCATTCTAGGATCTTCCTCCTGAACACATCCTTCCTGACGAAAGAAGGGAGAGAGGTGGGGGCACTAGTCTGGGTTTATCTGAGATTTTCTCCCTGATGTACTTGGAGGGTGACCCTGGAGAGAAGGGAAAACCCCGGAAAGGAGAAACAATAATTTCATCCAAGCTAACATTACACCTTCCTCCAGGAGCCGAGGTAGACCCTGCTCCATCTCTCCCTCCCTTCCTGGACTGAAAGAGGTTCAGCTCAGTAACTGGGGTGACCTGGGCTAATCCTGCCCCTGGGTCAGGCCAGTAGGGCACACACTCCCCCCTCCCCCTGTGGGACTCCCTCCAGCTCTGGTCTAGAGAGAGAGTAGCTGCAGCCCATGGAGGAAGTGACCCCCTGGAAAGAGAGAGGCTGCCAGGCTGGAGCTCCCTGACCCCAAAGAGGATGAGCTTGGAGTGAGCATTCGAGGAGAGAGGGAGCTGGGGTGGGGCACAGCCCCCAAAGCCCAGCAGGGCCCCACCCAGCCTCCTTACATCTACCCATGGAAATAGTCCCAACCCCCTCCTGTCTCCAGATCCTCTATTGCCTCAAGTCTTGCTCCAAAACTGCTTGATGTGTAATTGTCCTCCCACTGTCTTACGTGGTGTGCCCCGTCTCTCCTGTCATTCACACACACTCATTCCTCTCACACAGGGAACCAGATCCTCAACACTGGAGTTTTTCTGACCCCGTTTCTGGTTCCCCTCAGAGCCACCCTCTCTGCAGTATCTCTACTCAGCCAGGTCTGAGCAGCCCCAGGAGTCCCTGCACCTCCTGCCTCTGACCTTGTGGGAAACCAGTCCCTCATCCTCATGACAGTGAGGAGGTCAAGGCAAAGTCCTGAGGTCAGTGATGGATGGACGAGACAATTTACTTTCTCTCTTGTTTTAAGAGTTTCATTTTATTATTGTATTTTTTGAGGCAAGATCCATTTACACACTGTGCATAACTCAGAGGGACAGGTTCACACCTCTTCAGGTGTTACCTCACTCCCACCTTCAAGGTACCCAAGTCTCCAGCCCTAGTCCTCTGGACCTTCTTACTCCTTCTACTGCCCACTCTCACCCTACTCATGTAGCCTCAGTTGTGCAGCCAGATTCCAAGGGTTTGGCTTGGTATTATCTCCCCCTTTGCATTGTTTCTTTATATCACACATATGAATATCATCTGGTATTTGTTGCTCTCCTGATTTCACTTAGTATGATTTCTTCAGGTTCCATCCATGTTGTTGTAAATTCAAGATTTCATCTTTTATCACAGCTGAGTAGTATTCCATTGTGTATATTATACCACATATTCTTTCCAGCTTCTTCTCCTCCCTGCTCAGCTCCACCCTCCCTTGGGTGGGGCAGGGAATCTGGAACCTCCCCTTCTCCAGGGGACCACCCTCTTACACACTCATCTATTGTTAAGCACATTGGTTGTTTCCATAATTTAGCTATTGTGAACATTGTTCACAGGAGCTGAAGACAGAGCTCATATATCCCTTCAAATTAGTTTTTACGTTCTTTGGATAAATACAAAGGAGTGGAAAGCTGGGTCATCTGGCAGATGTATTTGTTAATATTTTCAGGAAACTCCAAACTTTTCTCCACAGGGCTGGTAGGGCTAGACCAATTCCCACCAATGTATGAGGGTTCTTTTCCATACTCCCTTGCCAACATTTGTTGGTTTTTGTCTTTTAATATGAGCCATCTCACAGGTGTCAGGTGGTGTCTTACTGTGGTTCTGATCTGCATCCCCTGATGATGTGTGATGTGCATTTTCCATGTGCCTGTGACCATATGCATCTTCATTAAGAAGTTTCTACTTAGCTCCTCTCCCCATGTTTTGATTGGGTTAATTGTTCTGGTTGTTATGTGTGTTATTTATGTATAATATGGATGTATGATATGCAAATATTTTCTTCCAATCAGAATGATGTGTTTACATTTAATGACAGTTTCCTTCACTGAGTAAGAACTTGTTAGTTTGATATGGTTCCACTGGCCTATTTTTGCTTTTGTTTCCTTAGAGCACAGAAGATATCGAGGGCAGTGAATCTACTCTGTAGGCTACAATATGGTGTCCACACCATTGTACATTTGTCTGAAACCCACAGCGTGGACACCGCCAGGAGTGAACCATAAGGGAAACCAAGGGCCGTGAGAGATGGTGATGTGAAGGTTCATCATGTGACAGACGTGCTGTGTGAAATGTTTCACAAGTTGTCCTTCCAAAGACAACGTGCACACAAAAGAAAATTTTACATTCAAGAATATAAACACACACACACTCACCATAAACCTGCAGTGAGCCAGGTGGCCTATCCAAAACCAGATACCAGGGAAGATTTTTGGAAGTTTCTTTTAAAGACAATCATAGACAGGCCATACACTCCAGCTATTTACCTAACTTATTTGAAAACTTGTATTAGGGAAAAAAAAACCTGTATGGAAGTAAATGTTTACAGCAAAACACCCACTAAGTGTGAGTTGCCCATGGTGACCTCCTTCCTGCTGCAGAGGGCCTTGCTGCCCCAGCCAGATAGGAAACTGACAAGCAGCAAAGAGAAAGGGGCCTCACACCGTGGGGCTAAAGATCTGGCATCCCTTTGCTTTTTGTTCTTAGACATAGAGAGAGAAAAATTTATCAGAAAGTATATTAGGCAATAAATTATATGTATCAGCATACTGTCAGTAAATGGCAAGAAGAATTGTCTGTTTAGAAATTAGTTGTTGGCAGTTTGGCCCACTTGACAATGGGAGGCAGTTTGTTGTGCATGCCTGACAAGCAATCCAGCACAACAGTTGTAGTGGGTCTTTCTTTTGCCTTCTTTTGAAGATCCTTGGGAAAGTTTTTAAATGAAGCTATTTGAGTTAGGAGTTTCTAAATAGAAAAAGTTCTGATAACTGAGTAGCAGCCGGTCCCCAGCTGAAGGCCATGCGAATAAGAGGAGTCCTTTCTCGCTTAGGCTTTGGCTGATAGGGATGTACTGGCGGCTATCTACTGTCTTAGGTTATTGTTTAGCTGAAACAATGAGTTTTAGTGTAAGGCTTCGTTTTTTATTATCCTTGAAGGTTGCCTTCTTACTGAGAGCACGTAGTGGCCAAAAGCCCACGGAAAAAGAAATGCACTGATTGTTTCTGCTTTGTTTCTATGCACATGATAATGTCATCTCACTGCTTGCTAAAAATGTATAAATAAAGAACCTGCTGAGCCTCTTGGCAGAAGATACTAACACCTTACCAAGTGTCAGTGTCTCCTCATTCCCTTCCCCTCAGCCCTTAAGTTTCAGTCCTTTTGTTTTCGCCGAGGCCGTCTCATCCTTTCAGGAACCCCTGACATGACATTTTGCTGGAGGCTGGTCCCTGGCACCTTCCAAAGACAACAACATTAACTACTAAATAAATGGGAAAGAATTGCATATTTGTACACTTGATGCATTGAACAGCTGGCCACCTCTATGGTCTCTTCCCCCAAACCCACTGGCCCGGGCAAAGACCTTAAACTGAGACATCTCTCCCAAGCAGCTCCTCACAGTGTCCTCAAAAGCAGGAAAGTCTGAGAAACTGTGAGCCAGAAACATGTTAAGGACACCAGGTAGGGACTTCATGTGGTGTCTAGGATGGGATATTGGAGCATAAAAAGGATAATAGGGAACATTAAAGACACCCAAAGTGTGGAGTTCATTGAAACGACATCAATATTGTTTCCTTAACTTCACAAATCACTTAGTAGTCATGTGAGATGTTAACAGTTTGGAAATGATATGGGTTATATAGCAACTCTACTACCTTTGCAACTTTCCTGTAAATTTAGCAGCATTTTTAAAACGCTGTTAACGAAGTTATATGTTATAGAAGGAAAAAGTGATCTACTTTCCAGTTTTCCCAGATTTTGCTATGAAGGGACTGGAGAGAGGGGTCCTGGGGAAAAGCTGGAAACCTCACACCCAGGGCAGGCTCCAGAGTCTCTACTCCTCTGAGCCCTGCTTCTCTCACTCCTCACAGAGCCTATCACCCCATGACGCCACCCTCCAGCACCCCCAACTCTGCCCATCTCAGACCCCGCCCCGTCCTGGCGGCTTCCCCAGAATCCAGAACAGCGCGGCAGCACCCCCGTGTGGCCACAGGGCTGAGCACAGGAGCCCAGAGCTGCCCTTTCTCCTTCTCAGCCAGGCCCTCCCCAGGCTCCCTGGGCTCCCAGAGGCAGGACAAGGTCTACTGTCACGTTAGGGGTCCTCAAACTTCCTCCCTAACGAGTGACTATGGACACAGGCCTCAGGGAGGAGCCCGGTCTCCATGTCATAACAGCAGGTTCCCAGGCTCATGCCACATGCCACACACACCTCCACCCATATTGACATCAGTGCCCCCTCTGCTTCTTTCCCAAGCGCTGCTCTCTCCTGCCCCCGCCCCAAGAAAACAGCCCTAAAAGGAGACCCCAGGCTAAATGAGTGTAAAATCATCTCTACCACCAGATACTCCTGTGTTGAGGGGCCACCTGTGTCTTGTGGGGACAATGACAGATGCCTCCAGTTGCTGTTAGAGAGAGGACATGAGAGGACATGAGTCTTGATTTCAAATATATACACAAAGAGTATGAGGACCAAGGCCCTAACTGTGCCCTGAGTCTGGAGTGACCTGGTCGGCCGCATGAGACTCCACCCACATCCTGGAGACAGGATAGGCCCAGGTGGTGTCTGAGTCCCTGTGATTACAGGCCCTGCTGGGATAGGCACTACTGAAGGACAAGAACAAAGGAGCAGAGAGATGACCCCTGAGGAGTGATCACGTCAAAGCCCACGATGCACTAAGCACCGACTGGACACAGGCCCTGTCCCCCTCGGCTCCTCACAGCCTCTCCTGCCCCCACCTGCACAAGCTCAGCACAGCAAACCTGCAGTTCTGGCTGGTCCTCATGCTTCTGATTTATGTAATCACAAATTTTAGTAACCCCACTACTGAACACGTCAATCCCACAAGGTAAGAAAAATAACTTCAAAGCTGTAATAGTATTTTCAATTGGGAAGTGGACATTATTCCTCAGGAAAACACAAAGTACAGGCACATGGGAGTCAGCCCTGCCTCTGGAGCACGAAAACCATCAGAGACAAAACACAGATCAGTGTGGGGAGGGTCGTGGTGGGCATGAGCAGCCCAGTCTCCCCACCTCTTCACATTATCAGTTAAAAGACAGAATCATTCACAGGCCTTTTGCAACAAGAAAACCAATGGATGCTGAAGGTGAAGATGTGAAGAAATCCTGCATCACTTGCTCCCCACTGCTGTCTCACACTGTGAGGGAAAATGATCATGAACAATGTTAGGGAAGTGTCAACATTCTCAATAGTCCACTGCATCCTCAGAATGTCCCCCTCACAGCTTCCCCATAACCTGGTCCCATCCTCTCTGTCCCAGCCCCTTCTACCACAGGTCCCAGGGTCTTACCATTAGGGGCTATCAGAGAATCATCATAATCCAGGGAACTATCACTGCCTGGGGGAGAACAAAACAGAACCTGGTCATGGCCATGAGAAATGAGACCACAGGAGGAACCAATGGGGGTGACTTCCCCATGGGTTGCATCTACACTGTCCCCAGGGGATCAGGGATAAACCCCTGATCCACACTTACCTGCAGCCAGATTGTAGCTTCTTCCTTTTCCACCTGTGGAAGAAGAAGAAACATCCTGTAAGAAACATCCTGTAAGACCACAAAGGAGTTGGGCAAGCAAGTCTTAAATGAATCCCCTAATCTGGGCCACAAGGAATGTTCCAGAAATGTGACTGAAGACCCTGGGAAGGGCCAGGAAATATGAGGAAAGGAGATGAGGGGAGACTGAGCAACTACCTCCTGAAGTCTGTCCTCAGCAGGGACTTTCCCCTCTGACATTTGCTGGGAGTCAGGATCCCATCACCAGAATTATCACTGCAGGTGAACAAGTGGTGATTCATTTTCATAAGTGGTTTACAAAGAGTGAGGAGTAGCAATCAGCTCCAGACTGGGCAACACAGTGTGTGGATGTTACTTCCATTTACCAGGCAGGGCAAGTTCTCCCTGGGACATGAAAGCCCCCAGTGGACAAGATCCCCCAACTCCCTTCCCTACCTGAGTGCTTCTTCCTCCACATCACAGCTGCAGCCACCGCAGCTCCAGTGAGCACAGCTCCAAGGAGAACCAGGCCAGCAATGATGCCCACGGTGGGGATGGAGGACTGAGGTGGGGGCACTGGAAGGGAAGGGAAGGTGAGACCCTGTCACCCAGGCCTCCATCCTAAGCCAACTGAGGTTCTCCAGAAGGGCTCCTGATTCCTTTGTGCCCACGCGCCCTCCTTACCCCATCTCAGGACTCTGGGCTCCAGCAGCCCTTCATGCTGCACATGGCACGTGTATCTCTGCTCCTCTCCAGAAGGTACCTCCACAGCCACCCACTTCTGGAAGTTTCCATCTCCCCCCGGCCTGGTCTCCACCAGCTCTGAGTCCTGGGTCAGGTCCTCCCCATCTCGCTGCCAGGTCAGGGTGATGTCCGCAGGGTAGAAGCCCAGGGCCCAGCACCTCAGGGTGACCTCATGCTCAGAGGTGGGGTGATGGGTTACCTGTGTCTTTGGGGCATCTGAGGAGAAGGGTCAGAACACTCACACTTTGGATTTTTCCTTCATGGAGACTGAAGTAGCCTCACTGACCATCCTCATAATGGACAGTGAAATTCATTTGGAAGAGGAAGCACAAAACCTATGAACCAGCCTGACCTGTGGAGTCTGGAATAATCTTTTTCTTAGAATAGGTAAATCAGGGCAAGAGCTCAGGATAGGATTGCAGGTCTCCAAGGACGAGAGCACAGACTTATACTCCTGATCTGGGGACTCAGAAAAGCTGGAGTCAGATCTGAAAATGTTAATTTTACCGAAAATAAGGCAAAGTGAGAAACTGATGGGGCAACAAGTGGAGAACAAGTGGTGATTCATTTTCCCAAGACGGCTGCCAGGTCAAAAGGATCCAGTGAAGGGTGATTTCAGGGATGGTCCATCCTCTCCAGCTCAGGAGAGGCTGGATTCCTTAACTGTCCTTCAGTAGGGCCCTGTGGCGAGTCTCTCTCTAGTACAGAACAGGAAACCCTGGAGGTCTCCTCCCTCTCTGACCAGAGAGAGGTCTGTGTTCTGAACATTACTCCATTTCCCCTGGGGTGTCAGCCTGAGGGAGATCTGAGACCATGGAGGCCATGTGTGGCCCCTCCTACCTATGCGCTGCAGCGTCTCACTCCCATTCTCCAGGTATCTGCACAGCCACTCCACGCACTCCCCCTCCAGGTAGTTCCTCAGCTGATCTGCTGCTCCGTCCACCTCCCACTTGCGCCGGGTGATCTGAGCGGCCGTGTCCACCGCGGTCCAGGAGCGCAGGTCCCAGTTCAGGGCCAGGTAATCGGCGCCATCGTAGGCGAACTGATGGTACCCGCGGAGGAGGCGCCCGTCGGGCCCCATGTCGCAGCCATGCAACCACTGGATGGTGTGGGAGCCTGTCCCCGCCCGCATCACCCACCGTCACCCAGCGGTCACCCCGCCCGTGCCCCCCGCCGGGAATAAACTCAAACTGAAACTAAAACTGACGGAACAAAGTCCCCTGGGCTCATCTCGGGGTCGAGGGTTGGGGGAAGGGGGGGACACCAGCTTCGGGTGTTGCTCGGAGGTGGAGTCTGGGGTTACCCGCAGTCAGTGGGGATGAGGGTCATGCCCCGGCCCGCCCCGCTCACCGGCCGCGCTCTGGTTGTAGTAGCCGCGCAGGATGCGCAGGTTCTCTCCGAACGTCTGCGCGTTGGCCTTCGCTGTCCGCGTCTCCCCCTCCCAGTACTCCTGCCCCTCCTGCTCCGCCCAGGGCGCCCGTGGCTCCATCCTCGGATCCGGAGAGTCGCGGTCGAACCGAGCGAACTGCGTGTCGTCCACGTAGCCCACCTCCATGTACCGGGGCTCCCCGAGGCCGGGCCGGGACATCGTGGTGTAAAAATACCTCAGGGAGTGGGAGCCTGGGGGCGGGAGGGAGACCCGGGCTGGGGAGACGGGGCGGGGGGGGGGGGGGGGGGGGGGGGAAGGGCGAGGGGGCTCCCGAGATTGTTAAGGGGTGGCGGGACGAGAAGGGCCCAGACTCCAGACTCCAGGGGCAAGAGGAGGCGGAGGCTGGGAAGGACATAAAGGGGTCAGGACAGGTCGGGGTTGAGCGGGAACAGGGAACACCGGGGCGGCAATGGCAGAAACGAGCCTTTACCGGGTCCAGCGCCCGCCGCTGCAGCCACCGGGGGTTCCCCTCCCTCCCGCCTCCTCAGCAGCGGGTTCCCTCTCATCCCGCACTCACCTGCCCAGGTCTCCCTCGGGGCCAGGGCCCCCAAGAGCAGCAGCAGGAGGGGCGAGAATCCCATGATCCTCACCTACTGGGTCTGAGAGGCCCGGAGTCCAGGCGGTGGGTGCAGACTGTGTAACGGGAGTCACTGAGATGCTGATTGGCTGCTCTGCAAACCCTCCAGGCAATGGGGAGTGAGAACTGGAGGTGAGTCTTGAGTCCAGGCTTGAGGGCCCCACTCAGGTGAGAGGGAGGAGTGAAACTGCAGGGAGTTGGGGAATCCTCAACAGTAACCTTCATGCCAGGGACACCGCCCTGGGGCCCAGGACCTGAGAGTCACACCCCTGACCTGGGACTTTGCCCTGCACCCTCCCCTCGGCACCCAGAACTTTGTCCTGGCCCTGGGACTGCCTCACCCATTCTCAAACATTTTCCTTTTAGACTTACAAGTTCCCAGGGACCCCCAGTCTAATTTTATGCAGATAAAACTGTCAATCTTTATCATACAAGGAATAAAATTATTTAAACATGTTTTTATTTCATTTAGATTATTAATAATCCATTACATGTTACTGTTTTAAAGACATAACTTTCTGAAAATCATCATGGTAGTGAGAAGTGGATCTTTTACAGTTATAGTTTTGCATTTCTGTCATTTCTGTCTCAGAAGCTGGATTGTCATATTTTCTTTTGCATTTAGTCTGTTGGTCAGTCAACACAAAAATATACAGCCTGAAAGAAATATGTAGAAATAGCATTTTATAATCTTTTAGGATAATTGTGAGTATTCAACTTTGTTACCACTTTGATAATAAACTGAAACTGTACGAGTGGTAGTTTTTCACGTTATTTGCAAAGAGAAACCTGATACACTACCACTGAATATTTTCTATTCTATTACATTAATTCTGTAGACCTTGCTTGCATATTAATGGCTCTTAACTAATATGATTTTTAAAAGTAATGAATTGTTTCACTAGACTATATGATCACTGTGTTTATTATTCTAGAATCAAATTTCAAAAATCAAATATATTTCATATTCCAAAGATCCCAAAGGAAAAATGAGCTGGTACAGGAAGTGGCCAAGCTTATAGTGATGGAACACAATTTTCTAATACCTGGTTTTCCCTTGGGGTTGCATTTCATCAAGGCAATTAATTACTATCAATTGTCAACTGTCAGTAGATTTTCTATTTTTTTAAGATTTATTTATTTATGCATACAAGTACTGGGGTACAAGCCAGAGGTGCAGGAGGTGGAGGGGTGAGAGGATTCACAAGAGACAGAGTGGAGAGCAGAACAGACAGATTGACCAAAGTACACTGCTCAGGGGAGCAGCAGGCAAGACAAGAGAGGTCTGCTGCTCCATGTGGGTCACCTCCCTGGCTGGGGATCAAACTCTGGCTGCACTAGTTGCAGACAGCTTCATAGTGCTGATGCTTAACCCCTTGCACGACCAGGGAGGCCGCTGTCAGTGGGGGACAGACTCACATTCACTTTCTAGAAAGTGCCTACAAGTTAACTAAATCTATATAATGATAGTTTTGTCATTCACTCCTTCAAATAAAGATGGCATTGCCTGAAAAATGAGTCTATTTAACCTCATACAAATTGTTTTTCTTGGAACATAGTACTTTAGATTGTAGCAGAAGTGATTTATATGTACTGAGCTTACTTTGTTTCTCTCAGGCAAATTCTTTCTCTCAGGGTTGAGGAGATTGTAAAGGCAGGAATGAACACAGTGCAGGTTTTCTGATCCCATGCAGACCGGGTAAAGGAGGAGTCCGTGTCCTCAGTCGTTTTTTGCAGGTCTTTTACTGGGATTCACCAGGCATATGGAAGGCAGGGTTACTGGGGGGCCGGGAGACTGGCAGGCCTCCCAGCCCCCAGCAAATCCTCACTATCTGGGCTCTCCGGCCTTCTCTCGGCTTCTGCTCGGCTTCTTTCTCAGCTTCTCTTTTGGTTTCTGCTGGCGTCCCCGTGATGCCACCCTTAAAAGCCCAGTCTCAGCCCAGGTGAATCCCGTCTACCTATGACCACACCCTATTCCAGGTGCCCGCCATCAGGCATGCATTCAGGACTGCAAGGATCCATCATCTATCTTGATGGCAGGAGGGCAGAAAAGCCTGACATTTTTCCTTACCCTACAGAGATGCTCCCTGCTTTCATGAGCCTCCCTGTCCAGGGCCCCACAGTTCTTCATACTGGACAGGGTGGTCTCTGTCCACATCCCTGCTCCCTCCCCGCACGACCCCTCCTGTACAGCCCTGCTCCTCTGGGGAAGTGTGAGGTAAATGATTATCAGGCTTTTCTGCGCTTCCACCATTAGGATTGATAATGGATCCTTGAGGTCCTGAATGCATGCCTGATGGTGGGCACCTGGATTAGGGTGTGGGTATACTTAGGTGGGATTCACCTGGGCTAAGATGGGGTTTATAAGGGCAGCAGCGCCAAACGGAGCGGACCAGAAGAGAACAAGCAAGAATGGAACTAGCAGAAGGGAAAGAATGAGCAGAAGAGAAGGAGACCACTAGAGAATGCCAGAGAGCTCAGGAAGAGTGAAGATTCACCAGGGGCTGGGAGGCCTGCCAGGCACCCCTGCCTGCCATGTACATGGTAAACTCAATAAAACCCTGAAAAAGCTACCAAGGGCTCCAGGACTCTCTCCTTTACCCCATGTGCTCGGGTCATAGATAACCTGCTCCGTCCCTTCCTGTCCTGCAGGAGGTTGACAATGACTGGTCATCACCAAACTTGTGGCCACATTTTAGTCAACACTTTGCTGTTTCTCATTGTTAACAACAGCTGACAATGTTTTTTACTCTCTCCTGGTCTGAAAATGCTTTCCTCCTCTGGCTCCTGAGAGCTATTATTGTTGGAGTTTATAGGGTTAAAATCTCTGTCTCTTTGGCACCTGGTAGACAGGGCTAAGAACTTTTAAACAGACTGGGGAGCTGAAGAGTTACCATGGGAACCAGGCTGTAAAAAACCTTGGCCAACATGGAACCACCTGATTGCTATTGAGACAGGGCCATAAAGCCCAGGTGTGGCCACTAAAGACAAATCTAAAGCAAATAAGAGCTAATTAGGGTGTGACACTCTAGCAGACAGCAGGTAGCTCAGACCCATGTCTTGAATCTTAGAGGGAGCCTACAAACTCAGAGCATAAAAAAGAACCAAACTTTTCTTTTCAGTGGCCTGAGGAAAAGTTTCTTCTCTCACCATCTCCCCCACAGTAATTCAATAAATGCAACTTTTCGGCTTTCCGTGCTGTCTCTGATGAATTCTTTCATCCCCATGACCCTGATGTCTCTTCACCGTCCTGTGCTCCTCACCCATGGGAATTATCAGTTTTGTTCAAATGATTGGACATTTTTGTAGTAGAAATTAAATTACAAGATGTTAAAAAAAATAATGCAAACACTGCACTGAGCTAATCAACATAATGTTACTATGTTGGGAGAACAAGTTTGGGTGAAAGAGGAGTCAATTCACTAAAGATGAGACATAAAACTCAGCAGAGTCCTGGTCGATGCTATTTGGAGTCAGAAAAGTAACAAGTAGAAAATGAGCTAAAAGAAGTAAAACAGCTTGTCTCTGAGATTTAAGAAATGGGAACGTGGAAGATTGGGGACCACTGTCTTCACAACAAGCTTTGTACAAGTATTGGACTTTTAAAATTATGTATGTTTATCTATTTAGGAAAAAAAAAGGCAATTATGGTAATATACTGTATAAAAGTTATATGATTGTGATCTCTCTCAATATCTCATCATACATAAAAGTTTTGATGCAGGATGATTGTGGGAAACTGAAACCTTGGAAAGTGAGGTCTCAGATAAAGGGAGGACACTGTGCACCAGGTATGGACCAGGATTAGGAACAACAGAGATCCTCTAGGGTAAATGAGATAATCAGGGTTTTTTAGGCCACTAACCTCTGTGGCAACGACCTGCAGCCTACACAAGGGGCACTTGGGAGTGTGGATAAGGGGCACTTGTGCCTGACTGTGGACACCTGGCTCCTATGAACATGGGCATGCACATGAGTAAATGTGCACACCTAAGTCTAGAGGCTGGGATACAAGCAATAGGAGGAGGCCCACTAAGCAGCCAGGTGACTGGAGAAGAGGCAAGGCCACAAGACTACAGGAGACTGAGAGTACCAGAGGGAGGCCAGAGAAAGAGCAAAAAGAGTCATGGGGGTCTGAGAGGCTTGGTTGCCTGCCTGCCTCCTAGCATCCCAGGACACCCCCGCCAGTACTCTGGCCCTTGCCTGCTTCCTTGCATGCCATCCTCCCTGCCTGGTTCCCTGGAAGAGCATTAAAGCCTGTAAAATCCACTGAGGTCTCTGAGACTCTCTTTATCTGTCTCCCCGAAACCATAGTGAACCTGCCCTATTCCTGCTTGCACTGCAGACCCCCAGTCACTGCTGGCAGGGATACAAATAGCACGGCCACTATGGAAGAGATTTGGCAGTTTCTTATAAGGCTAAACACAACTTTCCTTAAACCAGCTGATCATGCTCCTGGGTATTTACCCAACCCACTTGAAAACTTTTGTTTACACAAATCCTGCACAAAATTTTTTTTTAAAGATTTATTTATTTATTTATACAAGCACTGGGTACAGTCAGAAGCGTGGGAGAGTGAGAGAATTCACCAGAGCCAGAGCAGGGAGCAGAGCAGGCAGACCAACGAAATACACTGCTGAGGGAAGCAGTGGGCGGCAGGAGAGGTCTGCACGTTGTGTGGGACCCTCCTCCGGTAGCCGGGGAGCAGCCGGGGATCGAACTGGCACTGCAGAGGCTGAGGGCAGCTTCGCAACCCAGCGCTCAACCGCTGCACCAGCGGGGAGGCCCTGCACATAAATGTTTATAGCACAACACTCCTTAGCTGTGGGCAGCACATTGTATAAAGACTGGAAAGGGACATAGTAAAGAAAGAACCTCACAGGGAGAAAGTAGGAGATACAAATTTAACCGCAGCTGGGAAAGGTGAACATGATCAGTTTCTCAAGAACAAGTGCATTTTATTCCCCCTTACTGTGTTGTTGAGAGTGGTATTTCATCTCTGTGATCGTCCCCAAACCCATCAGCCCAGACAACCAAACTCAAATTGAGGGCCCTTCTACAATACACCTGAGCAGTGCTTCCCTAAATGTGAAGACCATCAAAAACAAATAATGTCTGAAATACTAACTCAGCCATAGGAGGCTTAGGAGACATCACTAGTACTTAGTGTGGTATCATGAGGGAGCCTGGAACAGAAAAATAAACTAATGACATCTGTACG